CTTCCTTCCTTCCTTCCTTCCTTCCTTCCTTCTTTCTTTCTTTCTAATATTATTTTCTTATTCTGTGCGTTTGAATTGAATTTTCACTTTCTACCAAGCTCTCTGTGTTCCTTGACCGGTGTGCCCCAGCTAACCTGGGTATCGGGATCCCGATGTTGGCCAGTAACTACATCCGACCAGGCATCACCATCCATCTACAGAGTGAGAACGGCATTCTGGGACTGGTCAGTGACTTCTTTGCTTTTCTCTGTTTTTGTTGTTGTTTGTTGTTGTTATTTGTTCTGCACCTATAATCTAAGGCCACACCAATTTAATTTCTTGGTTAATGGATTTTTCTAGAAAAATAATGGAGCGGGCAGGCGAAAAATAAAAACAGGCCTAGGCATCCTATTATGGCCCAAAATGGTACGATAGGAGCCATGAAGTCAACACACCAGGCTGGTTCAAAATTTAAACAATGAATTTGGAACTTTTAATGATACCATTGCATTGAAAGATGGAATAACTGTACCAAGTAGCAAGTAGAAAGAAAAGGACTGTATGAGCATTTTGCAGTTGATTCTGAATTTTTTTTTTTCAAATCCGAAAAAAATGAAGCGGGCAAATCCGTAAACCAAGAAATTAAATTGGTGTGGCTTAAGCTGTTTTATTCTTTGTGTTCTGCTGAAGTACATGTACTCTAGATGCAAATCTGCAGTTGCAATCGGTCTTAGCCTAGGAAAAGATTAACTCTAGTCCTTCCATTTTGGGTAGAAAACTTCATCGTAGTTTATTTCCCAAGATTTGTATGTGAGAAAGAAGTGCTAGTCCTGAGTCAACTAATGTCACAGTGTTTTTGGCCAGGGCACACAGTGGTGAGTACATCGCAGTGCATGAACACCTCCTGTCAGTTTTATGTGGTACTGCAGCACTTTTTTTGTCAGTACACAAACCTGTCACTCTCCCTCCTCTACAGGGCCCCTTCCCCCGACCAGGAGAGGAGGACGCTGACCTGATCAATGCTGGGAAGGAGACAGTCACCATCTTGTCTGGAAGTTCCTTTTTCTCCAGCGACGAATCCTTTGGCATGATCCGAGGGTGAGGCTGACTTTTCTTACTAAGCCTGAGTGTCAGCCTTTTTAGCTTTTGTCCGCTCCCCACGATCTGCCACAGGCTGGTAGTGGATCGTTCGGAGCAGATGAAAGCCAAAAAGGCTGACACTCAGCTAGACTTCTCTACCTCTACTGATTCACTATTAACCATTTCCCTGCTACCTGACCCATAACCAATAGAGAGTTGGTAATGAAATGTCTACTTCAGTGTACTAAAGGTTAATCCGTAGAAAATGCATTACTCTGTTCTACTCCTTTGTTCTTAAAACAGATGAATCTTTGGTATCCACAGTATGTACTATGATAAAACTTAAAAATAATGACCCCTAAAAAATCATACTGAACTTGACTTGGAGGCTATGAGCACTTCGTTCTTATTGTATTTTTTCATGAGGTATTAATTGTGTTCTTTTTGCTTGTTCTGCACAGAGGCCACATTAACCTGACTATGTTGGGAGCCATGCAGGTGTCTCAGTATGGAGATCTCGCCAACTGGATGATTCCGGTAAATTCACTGGAGTGCAGTGCAAATTCAGAAAATCTGCTCAAAATTTGCTTGACAAGCCGGCACATGCTGGCCTTTTGCGGCATTTATGAGTCGGCACTGTACTGAGTTTTAGAGTTCTGTGGAGCTTCGGCAGCCTGGGTGCCGTCCTCCGTAGTTACCGCCGGCTCCCTATTGTTGCTAGCTACCATGGACTACGGAGGATGGCACCCAGGCAAGAGCCTCGGAGGTGATTTTTTTGAGAACAGTTGAAAATCAGTGCATGTGTGGATGTCATCCATAAAACTAAATCAGTGTGGCCTAATACCCAAAGAAACTCAGTCTGGCTGTCATGACAGAGTGTTAGCAGTATGGGATTTTCCAGGAATAGTTGGATATAATGGTACAAAAGATTGTGTGTATTGTTATGGCTATTGTTATGGTTAGTGTCTTGTGTTTTAACAAACTCCACCCATGGGTACTACAGGGGAAAATGGTGAAGGGCATGGGAGGTGCCATGGATCTCGTCTCTGCTGCTGACACCAAGGTCGTAGTCACCATGGAGCACACTGCTAAGGTATGTAGGGCTTCTTCTCTTCTCAGAAAGCAATGTTTACAACAGGCAGCACGTCGGCAGAATGAATTGGGAAACCCTGATTCTTCACGGTTTTCGTTGGATGTTGGTCAACATTGCATCAGAATTTCATCTGTTGCAGATGACATCTTTTCCAGCACAACATTTGGAAACTACAGACGGGATATTAACCTTACATGCGCGAATATGGCCTTATATGCTCTGACGAAGTGCTATGCACAACACATTACAGATTTTGCAAAGGTGCAGTACGTTCTGCCAACGTGCTACAACAGGCTACACACATACAAGTACAAATATTACAGGCCTTTCTTGCTGGGGAAATTATTGGCTTTCAGTTTTCCAAGGATTGCAGGATCTACAGTGGCTAGAAACTGGACTTTTGTCTACAAATGAACAGACACTTGGATTTAAGTTAAAATGCACCAGGTAGCTTTCCAGATCACAAGCATTTACATACTAGTAAGTTCAACCGCATGCACTCAGAAGATGAGTTGTTTGGGGTTAAGATAATGCTTGAAAAAGTATTGTTATCACAAATTCACAATCATTCAACTTGAACTCCTGTCTCTTGCATAGGGAGGAGCACACAAGATCCTGCCCCAGTGTAAACTCCCTCTCACTGGAACCAAATGTGTCAACACCATCATCACTGAAAAGGTAACAAAACAACCACAAATAGTCTTCAAAACGAAGAGAGATTTAAAAAGGTTTAAAAAAATGCAAACTCAAAGATCCTTGATAAAAAAATATTGCAGCATATCTTCAATAGACCAAGCCATAGCCTTGCCTAACTTAGAACTTTTGTCTGTTTTTCCTTTTGAAAGAATATTTAGTGCGGAAGACAGTACTGTAATTTCTGATTTTCTCATGGTACTGTTACATTGTATGTTCACTGTTTTCACTGTCACTTTTGTTCTGTGAACTTATCATTACAGTTAACAGTGTCCAGTTTAATTCCGGAATTCCAGTTTAATTCCGGACTAATTCCCAACCTTACGTCTAGATGGGCTAATATTCTAAGATATAGGTAAAAATGATGTAAGAATACGTAGCAGCCATCGGTGACCCCTTGGGAATTAACCCAATTCTGCAGAATTAGAATTCTGCAGAATTCTGGGAACTGGAGCCAGAATTCTGCAGAATTCTAGGGAACTGGAGCCAGAATTCTGGGAACTGGAGCCATCTAGACGTAAGGTTGCTGAGATATGGGAATTAGTCCGGAATTAAACTGGAATTCCGGAATTAAACTGGACACTGTTAAAATTAATCGGTGACCCCTTGGGAATTAACCCAATTCTGCAGAATTCTGCAGAATTCTGGCTGCAGTTCCAACCCAGTTCGTGAATTGGGTTAATTCCCAAGGGGTCACCAATGGCTGCTATGTATTTCTTACATCATTTTTACCTATATCTTAGAATATTAGCCCATCTAGACGTAAGGTTGCTGAGATATGGGAATTAGTCCGGAATTAAACTGGAATTCCGGAATTAAACTGGACACTGTTAGTTAAACAATAATAATAGCTATAGCTCTAGACAACTACCTTTTAATTTTTATCATGTAGATTTTAGTTATTTTATACTACGTTTCATTGTTCTTTTATGTTTGTAATCTGCAATTAGCCCCCCGGGGATTAAAATTTGCAATAAACTTCTTCTAATGATTTCTGGACTTTCTTTTTCCTGCACCTGTCACCACCGTGACTATATAGTTCCGTGAACATGCCCACTTTTCTCAGACGGTGAACTTTTGCTACCGTGAATTACAGTATTACAGAATACATGTCCTAATAATTTTATTGGTGTTAACAGGCAGTATTTCAGGTGGACTCAGAGACAGGTCTGACTCTGACAGAGATCTGGCCTGACTTCTCTGTGGAGGATATTATAGGAGCCACAGGCTGTGAATTCCAGGTTAGGGGGTCTTGTTTTTAGCAAAGAAATTTAAGTAGCATTTTTGTAGCTTTGAACTATTTTTGTTTGGAGTAGCTAGGAATTATTCTTTTAAGCAGATAAGGCCACACCAATTTAATTTCTTGGTTAACGGATTTGCCCGCTTCATTTTTTTCTGATTTGCAAATAAAAATAAAAATTCAGAATCAACTGCAAAATGCTCATATTTTGCCCTGAACAGTTGAAAACAGTCCATTTCATCCTAGTTGTTACAGTTATTCCATCTTTCAATGCAATGGTATCATTAAAAGTTCCAAATTCATTGTTTAAATTTTGAACCAGCCTGGTATGTTGCCTGGCTCCTATCGTACCATTTTGGGCCATAATAGGATGCCTAGGCCGGTTTTTATTTTCTTTTTTTTTCGCCTGCCCGCTCCATTATTTTTCTTCAAAAATCCGTTAACCAAGAAATCAAATTGGTGTGGCCTTATAGAGAATTTGTTTTGCAAGCTTTTCAAAAGTGTTGTATATGATATGGACCACACATATCAAGAACATAATATGACGTTCAACTGCAGTACATTTGTAATTTTTGCAACCGTTGGGAACTAATAATTCAAATTTTTCCTCCCAAAGTGTGATTCTGTGATGTTATTTGTTTGTAGGTGAAGAGGCTTCTATCGTACCATTTTGGGCCATAATAGGATGCCTAGGCCTGTTTTTATTTTTATTTTTTTTTCGCCCGCCCGCTCCATTATTTTTGTAGAAAAATCTGTTAACCAAGAAATTAAATTGGTGTGGCCTAAAAACTCTATGATAGTAAAACGTTGAACTTTATTCCAACACACAATCTACAGAGATCAAATTTTCAGCGACCACTGTCGCCTTCATCAGGATAATTAATGACCAATCACTTCACTTCATTAATTATCCTGATGAAGGCGACAGTGGTCGCTGAAAATTTTAACGTTTTACTATGATTACTACCAACACAGATGAACTTTCATGAAAAACTTTTCTTGCTTTTCTCATATGCTGTTTAGCAGGAACTGCTTTTGACCACTTTGATACTAAGATTTTTTTATATTTGGATGTAATCCAGAATGTATAGTTTCATCAAATGTTAAAACTGGACATTTTTTACTGTCTGTAGGTGGCAGATGACCTGAAACCCATGGCACAGGTGGAGGTGTGAACGCAGCAGTGGGAGGGAAGCAGGGTGACTGAACAGCCATCAAAGGGGAGGGGGGACAATTAAGAGAATGGCTGACTCTCCAAGTCTGAGATGATCATTGGTTGGTTGAGTTGAACACTTGTTGCTAGATACTATTTTCATCTTTTTAACTTTGTCTTCCTCACAAAAGACTACCACAGATCATCAGAGATGTACTAGAATGATGGAAAGCATCTAGTTTGAAGAATGCCTAAAGAAGAAATTTTGTTGCCTCTATGCTGTCGCTATTTGTAACTAGTGCTGTGTACCTAAACCCACATTTAGGTTCAGGTCCGGATTCAAGTCCAGAGGTTTAGGTTCAGTTCCGGACTTATAAGTCCAGACCTAAACCCATGGCTTATACAAAATTGCATGTTGGCAACCTTGCAATGTTGTCTGGGTGAAACTTTGGCTACATAACATGGAGGCCGACACTTGACGATGCAGATGGCAATGTTTTCTTCATTTTGCAGCAAAGATTGTGCCATCTACGGAAGTTTTTAGATAGTTTGGAAAGAAAAGGGGTATGTGGAATGGTCTTTTATGGTAATAAGTCCAGACTTTTAGATTTTTTTGGACTTGAACCAAAACATTCTTACAAGTCCGGATCCAAGTCCAGTGAATCGGTACGCAGCACTATTTGTAACTGAGTTTTGAATCAGGATAGTTCAGATACAACAGTACATATGTATCAATGCTGTTAAAATCTTTACGGTACCAGTCTGTATACATTTTTGACATCTTCATTGATTAGAAATGGGTAACTTGGTTTCAGTGATGTCAAAAATTGGTATTCATATAAAGTACAACATACCAGTAACAGATGATGATAGCATGAAAACTTTGATGTAGTTTAACTACAATATTTATAAACTACAAATGTTTGAATCCGTCTTTGCACTGACCTCTTTAATTAGAAATTACAGTTTGTGTACCGATTATGTATTGATAATTATTACATACTCATATAGTATTACACAGCCATAAAGTATCAACAGATCAGTCATTGAATAAATGGGTTTCTAAAACATCAAGATTGTTAGAAAGATGCACTTTTTAAAGTAGTGTCAAATACTTAACTTTTGTTTGGACTCACTATACTGTGATAACAGTACTACAGAACAGTAGGGAGTCAGGGAAAGCACACCAAAATTTGTATCTGCTCTCTTGCTTGTGTAGGTCCTTATCTGTACAAATATACACAATGTGCCTGTCCAGTGATGTCATGTGAAATATTGTGAGAATTGTATTCATCTGTGTTGTTTCTGCTGAGATCAATAAATTGTCTGTTCAACTTATATATAGGGTTTCATCCAGGTCTTCTTGGCTCCATTTTTGTATAAGGCCACACCACTTTAATTTGTTGGTTCTCGGATTCGCCTCTTCGTTTTTTTTTGATTTGCAAAAAAAAAAAATGATTCTGGTTCTGAATCAACTGAAAAATGCTCATGTTTTGCCCCCAACAGTTGAGGAAAGTCCTTTTCTTCCTAGTTGTTACAGTTTTCCCATCTATCATGGCAGTGGTTTAATTAAAAGTTCAAAATTCAATGTTTAAATTTTAACCCAGCCTTTTGTGTTGACTTCATAGCTTATTTCGTAGCATTTAAGCCTATAATAGGATGCCTAGACCTGTTTTTATTTTTTATTTTTTTTTCGCCCTGTCGCTTCATATTTTTTCTGAAAAAATCCGAGAACCAACAAATTAAATTGGTGTGGCCTAAAGTTGGGTTTGAAGTATTGTTTGTGGGTTCTCTTGTTATGGGACTTAAAATCAAATGTGAGAGGTTGGACTTAGTGTTATAAGTAAGTAGCTCTCTTCCATGATTTTATGAAATTTCCTCCACTTGCCAAGCTTAGTTCATTTACAGAGCTCGAAATACTGGATGTATCATAGTGCACCTTAGTGCACCCAATTTTTTTTCAGTGGGTGAACCAACCCAAATATTCTTATATATATGTTTATGTACTATGTAAAGATGTTAAATGTATAGTAGTATACAGCATAATATTATTTTTCTGACATTTAGATTTAGATGTTATTATTAATAACTTACAACATCTACATGTAACCAACCTTATTATTAATAACAACATCTGTCAGAAAAATTACAAATCATTGTTAAAGTATTATTCTTTAGAAATGAAACATAATTAGCTTTTGCTGACATTGCACTTATTTTATCTTATATGGTGCATCCAAAAAATTTTGGGTGCACCTATTCCCAAAAATGAATTTCGAGCCGTGATTTAGCACGATTGTCAATCATCTGGTTGTTTTACCCCCACGTCACCCGACAGAGCTTCCACTACACTCACTTTTGGAGCGTTGCCCCCCTCCCCCCGTAGCATAGAGCTGTATGACATGGTTAGGGACCTCTAGCATGCAGCAGGCTGAACCAATCAGCTCGCCCTTCGGCATGACCTGGACCTCCTCCCACGTGTAGCTGTCCGTCTCCGTGTCGTAGTACATCACCAGCGGACGCCGGGTCTCCATCCCCAGATGCGCGTCACTCTGCCCTCCCACCATGTACACGAAACGTCCGTGTGATACCGCCGAGAAGCCATACATGGGTACGGGCATCAGCTGATCCAGGGACGTCCACTGGTCTTTCTCCGGCTCAAAGTACTGGATGAGTTGTTTGATAACGATGGTGTTGCCCATCGTTTGCGACCCGCCAAAGACGTATATTTTGTTTCCGACGGAGGCCATTGCGTGGTATGCTCGTGGTGAGCCCATGGGGGGTTTGAGAGTCCAGTGCGCAGTTTCTGCAGACGGATCCATACATAGGAACTCATTTATGGTGTGTTTTCCCTTCATCCCACCTGAGACATAGAGCAACCCGTTGTGTACTGTGCACGTGTGACCGTAGAGCGGCGCGGGCAGGTAGGAATGGTACGTCCATCGGTTTGTCGCAAAGTCGTAACTTTCCACCGACTTGTGGGCTTGTCGTGCCTCCCGCCCTCCGACCGCGTACAACGCACCGTCCACCGCCGCGAGGTAAAAGTACGCCCTCCTGTCTATCATCGAACCAACCTGCAGCCAGGCCTGGGACCGCGGGTCGTAGCGATGCACCTCTTTCCTCGCCGAGCGACATTTTGGATCCGGGCGGTCCATCCCGCCCGCCACGTAGAGAAATCCGCCCGTCGCCACGATGCTGTGGTAACAAACCGACCTCATCCGGCTGACAACCGGTTTGAACTGTAACGACTTGTCGCCACCTTGGAGGGCACCTATACACATCAACCGCGACAACTGCCCTGTGGTTTTGGCTCCACCAATGATCATCAGCGACTCGCTGTCAGCACGTACTCGCGTCTGTTCCGTCTGCAACAAGGGCTGTTCGTAGACTTTGCTATGGTACGACAGAGACTCCTCTAACCTTGCAAACAACTTTTCGTTTGTCTGGACCTCTGGATTTTCTTCCTTCCACGCTTCAAGGATTTCCTGAGGTACAAGAGAAAACTTCACGTGCCTGATGATATCATTACAGTATTCCTCCATCCTGGAAGGGTCATGGTTCAGCCACCTCCACACAGACTCTAAAACAACATTCTCTTCCACCATAAGTCTACTGCTTGCTACAAGAAGTTGTAGTTTGTCCACAGGAAGGGTTAGAAACTCCTTGCTTTGTGCGATGACTTTGAAGTGTTTAAAAGCAAACCGTAGGGCGGCTTCCTTGGCCGAAGGCAGGGCGTACGTGTCGGCAAGGTCGTATATGAGAAGCCATGTTTGTGCTGACAGGTGTTCTTCCATGAACGCACAGGTGAGACCCAACAGGGAGGTGAGCTGCAGGTGCGATGCCACCTGGAGGATGGAATATGAATTACAGTTGAATGAAAAATTTTCTTGGTATGAGAGGAGGGAAATATAACTACGAATCAGCTGTCATAAACTCAGCATCGAAACAGGAAGGCACAACCACACACCTCTGGAGCAAAGGATTTGCCAATTTTGTAGCTCGAACAAAGTAGAAGACGAAGCCCACTTTGTTATTGATTGTAGTTTATATAGTAATGAAAGAAATGATCTTTTTAGATATATTACAAGTAATACAAGTACGTTTCCATACTTCCAATACTTGCCTAATATTGAAAAATTTATCTTTCTTATGCGCTTTGATCATCCTGTATTATACAAACCCATTTCAAATTATATTTTTAACATCACAAAGAAACGAGAAGAAGCCGAACTTCTGTATTAGAGTAGATTTAGAGCTGTTTGTACAACAAACATGTATGAGGTCACTGTTTGGAGAAGAAGAAGAGGAGCATATTACCCATTTCATCTGTTCGCCTGTACTTAGCCCGATAGGGCATGAATGTACAATAAATTTTTTATATTCTTTGTATGCCAACTCCTATTTTGTTAGGTCTGAAACTTTTCAAAAACAAGCAAACAAGCAACATGATAAAGTGTATCAATGTCCCGCAAGGGCTCTTCACAAAGAGATTCAAAATAAACTAAAACAGTTCAGCAATAATCAGAGACTCTGTAAGAAACAGGCGGAGACAGTAAAAAACCCCACTGGTCCCGGGCCGGGGTTCGAACCCACAACCTCCCGGGCCCCAGTTAGACACTCTAACCTCTCCGCTAAAAGGTCTAGACCCGTTTGCCGGATCTGTTGGTAGCGCCTATAAACCCCCCACTGTTACAACTCTATACCTGTAGAATGTTTTCCACATTGTCCATGGTGACCCTGATGCAGGCTGAGTACATGAAGTCTAACGCCATGCCCAGTCCCACGGCAGACAGTCCGAACAGCTCCACATGGCTCTGGTGTGCCTCGCGGAGACCCCCCGTGAACATGGCCTACGGGAAAACACGACAAAACGGAAAACAGTTGTGAACTGGAGTCACAATTAAGAAATGGCTGATCAGGACTAAAAAAAGTATATTCTTCACATACAGCATATTCTTAACATCTAAGTCAGTAAGTGTCATATAATAATAAAATCATTGTTGTACTACTTTCTTTAGAAATGAAACGTAATTAGTTTTTGCTGACATTCTACTTCTTCTATTTTATACCATATATGTATATGGTGCACCCAAAAAGTTTTGTGCACCCAATTCTTTAAGTTTTTGAATTTCGAGCCCTGCCTTCAGCCCCACCAATTTAATTTGTTTGTTCATGAATTTGCCTGCTTCATTTTTTCCTGATTTGCAAATGAAAAAAAAAAAATTCAGCGTCTGAATCGACTCCATAATGCTCATATTTTGGTCCCAACACTTTACAGAGGTCCCTTCTCTTCAGAGTTTCCCCATCTATCAATGCAGTGGTTTAATTAAAGGTTTGAAATTTAATGTTTGAATTACAAACTAGCCTGGTATGTTGCTTCATGGCTCCTATCATGCCATTTGGGCCTTGGACTGTTTTTTTTTGCCCTAGCTGTGGCTTTATGTTTTTTCTGAAAAAATACGAGAACCAACACATCAAATTGGTGTGGCCTTACCTTGAAGTAATCGCTGGAGCTGGCCAGCAGGTTCTTGTGAACAGGGAACTCCTGTCCCTCTGCAACAAGCACCACGTCACATAGGAGCCCCTCCCTACGCAGCGCGTCCAATCCCACCAGCACGGTCTGCATGTACGTCAGGCAGTGCTGCAGGTGCGCCGGCAGGTACTGCAGCTGGCACAGGTGCTGTTTCAGGTGCGTCAGGTGCCCAGGCTGGACTACCCACTCTGGGCTTTCAGGTGCCATATGCGCATCTGGAACAGGTGATGCTATCATAGGTAGCTATGCCGTATGAGAAAAAAAAAGCTATCATTATTATTATTATATATAAATAAAGTTGTAGCGTCATACATCTACAGGGATATACATGAATGTGTGTATTTATGTTTTTGGTCATAATGTGTTATGTACACCATGTATTAACGTTAACGTTATAGTATCACCTCACCTCACCTCACCGGTCCCATAGCAGTCTGTCCTGCCGTCGGGGCAACTAAACTGTCCACAAGAGTTAGTATAAAGTTATCATAATAAACAATACCAATTGTGTTACATTACAGAAGATCCTATTATGCAAAATAATGTCCTTACTCTTTAAACAAGCTATATACCATCACAAAACGGACTCAAGGATCTCTGGATAGTATACAGCACCTCTAGTCGTTTTTTAAAAGCCTTTAAATATTCAAGATAGGGGAATCTCATAAAATGTGGCATACTGGATATGAATGTCTATGTCTATCTAGTTTAAACCTCAAATGTCTGTCTACAAACTACCTTAGCAAGCTTTTGATTAAGAGAGTTACTCTAAATACCTACCTGCTTTTTCCTCTAATATGTTACAAGCTTCATAATTTCCTGATAATACCAAAATTCTGGCCTCCAGCTGATCCGGACGTACATTTGGAGAATGTTCCATTTTTCTTAGGTTGACTTTAGTGTGTGCTAAAATAATGTTATGAGTATCTGAATTCTATGCGGCTTTGATATATCTTTTATGAACGGTATAGTTATTTGAAGACTTATTATTTGTATGGTTAAGCGACGATATCAAAAGATTTCTTATAAAAGAAAAAAAATAGGTTAATTAAATTCGATTGTTTATTCCCCATGTGATAATAGTATAATCCTCTCTCGCGATATCTTGTTGAGTACGAGAAAACACGGGACTTGTTCAGTTGAACAGAAACCATGGCGGAGAACGGTAAGTCATCGGGCGGGCCTGAGCCTTCCGCCGGCGAAAACTCCGCCTCCAGCGGCGTCAATACCTTTGCAAACGACGGCAGCTTCTTGGCGATGTTCCAGAAGAAGATGGAAGAGCAGAAGAAGCGGAAGGAGGAAGCGGAGAGACGACAAGACGGCGGGGAAGACGACACAAGCGCTGCTGCTACCAACCCAACATGCTCAGGAACAAGCTTGGCTACCCCAACACCGGACAGCAAGCTACCGGCTACAAAGAAAGGCTTTCTACTCGTAAGACAGTTTCCTTCTATCGTATATTTCTTTTCCTTACTTTTTACCACGTTTGTGTTGCCAGTTTTACTGAGTTCTGGCCTGCCGAAGGCTTCCAGCAGTGCCGTTCCGCTTGCCTGCGCCTAACAAAAACCACCCATATTTCTTGCCGGACAGGTGCACTAAAAACCATAAAATTCCCACGTCGTGAATTTATCTATATTAAATTCACAGTTCATGTTTTGACGAAGACAATTCAAGAGGGTTTTATCGTCTATCTTAACGCTATATAATGACTTATTTATAATTTTTTCTAACCCCTGTTTTAATTTAATTAGTCCAGGTAATTTATTTCGATCGAAGTGGGAGGAGCACTTTGATACCTACAATGTAGTCACTGGGTTATGTTAAAATTCGAAGAAATGGTTTTAGGTTACATAAATGTGTGATGGTCCTGTGCATGGATGCACATGGTTACTAATCCGATGTTCTGACCCCTGGAACAGTGGGAGTATCGGTGTGCTTTGTTTGTTGTCATATCAAGACCTGGTTCTCCCCAACTGGGGGTGTTGACAAATTAAGGGGCTGGGCAGAGGAAGCCACCCACCTCCTCTAAGGAGTTCTACTGGGGCATGCCAAGAAAAACATTCCCCCAAATTCCTTGTAATGTCCCAGTTTAAGTCTTTTCATTATAAATAAAAGATGATACAACTTACAAGCACAAGTTTGTTCAACTACATGTCAAAAGACTGTCAAATGTCTTAATGTGAGCATTAGTTTCTTTCTTGTCATCTTTCACTTCTTGGCTTGTTTTTACTGAAGACAAGATGAATGAGAGTACTGACAGCACAAGTCTCCTAAGTCCAAGAACCTTTGGCATTTCACTATAGGTATTCTCAGTGGGTAGATAATTCAAGAACTTCATGGCAAGATGTAGTCTTTGTTAGATGCATGACTTTTAACAACAGTTTTTACCTCCGGGCAAGGAGACATCCTTCCGCGGAAGGGTTTTGTGAGAGATTTAGATTTTCATGTTCGCAGCTGTTTCTCGCGTTTGGGTGGACGGATTCTTTTGGGACTCGGTATATGTTTTGCTATTGGGCTGTAGATGATGCACGTTCTATTGTTTTTATTGTATATGTGTTCTCGGGCGTGAAAACGGTGCCTTTTGGTGGCCCCAGAACACCCCTTTGAGTATGAAAATGGTCACGACCGTTGACCTTTGGCGTGTATTAGGTATTTACGGTCTGGTCCATGAAGCTGACCCCTCGCACAGAGGGGTGTCCGGTCTTGATAAATTCTTTGTTAACATAACAAACAACATATAAAAATATACAATAAAAAGCCTGGAGGTATAAAATCTCAGATTTTACTTGTTTATTTTCTGTTTTTCAGCCTTGTTTCACATTTTTTTGGAGTGGCTGTGCATGAAAAAAACTTTCCATACTTCACATAGATTAGTACAATAGTAGAATCTGACAGTTAACTGAAAGTTGTCTACATACAGTACTAGTACTTATTGCCTGAATTATCTTGCGATCATTGCCCAACAAGTTACTCAAACTTTTGTGAGAGCTAATAGTTTTCCTGATTTGACAGCCCATCTTTCAAAATGATCGACACTTGGACTTGGAAACAATAAACTAAAAAAAAACAAACTAAACTTTATCGAGTTCTGCTAGTTCTTCAGTGACTCGAAATGTCACTCGAAATGTCCAGATATTATCTCCGTAATTTATCCAGTAGTAGAGTTTGAATTTCCTATAAATAAAGTAAACTAAACTATACGATACTTTTATGAAAGTACAGGAAACTCAAGCTGACCGTAAATTGGGTGCTCTCCAATGAGAAGTCACATCCACCTGTTCCCACCATGTCATAATTAATCAGATTTGTACCTATAACTATACCCGTGACTAAAGCTGCCAGTTTCCCACTAATCTAATCCAGATGCTGATATATACAGTACGTAGCCTTATATCTCCTAGAATGAACTTGATAATGAGAAAGTTCAATCAGCAAGAGGAATTCTTTTGGTCTATTTAACTCCAGGCTGACTTCAAAGGCATGTGCTTGGATCGGAGAATATCAGAATTCAGAAGTGAATGTCTGAAATACAACGCTGTTCCACTCTACGTGACATTTTGTGGCCTTTCTGCGACTTGTGATGCATGTCATTGCTAGGTATACATGAAATGTCATGACCTTTGACTTCTTGGATGTACTGGGTAATAGAAGGGACTTGACATTAAAAGCTGATGACATCACCAGCTGGTTTTAATTTGATTGGATGAACTTGTGCTATGAGCAAGTTTTGTGCAGTATCAATCAACTAAAAATGAAAGGGATTTGTAGAACTATACTAGTAGTACTAGTAGTCTATTTTGCACAAGTCTAATGTCTTACTAGTATCTGCCTTTGCAACCAGTGTACAGGTAACAAAATACTTTTTTGAACCACTGCAAAAATTAGGTTGCCCATGATATCAGAATTTTAGGTTGCCCCACCTACTGTATAAGTTACTAGTACTACTTTTCTCAAATTAAGTAATGTTACATACATAAATCTTTAACAATATTTCTAACAGCCTTTACTTTAGTTAACTGATACTAGTAATAGCCATTGATACCTAGAATTAAAAAGCATCTGCTGGATACAGTGGTGCAAGCCAAGTGGGCATGATTTTTTTTGGGGGGTGGGGGGCATTCTTAAAATTCAGATAGCACACTGGGCTACCTAGGTTCAAAAATAGGTTGCCCCAAGTAAAATTTGGTTGCCCGGGGAACTGGGCAACCAGGTATTTTGTACGCTGGCAAGCTACCATTTTTTGCAAGAGTTATGATCACTGAAAAAGAATGCCATTATGTTGTCAGTACTGTATAATAGAGTCAATTCCGCGTCACCGAGTGGGTTGTTATTGTCATTATTTAAAAACAGAGACTCAAATCAGAACACAGACGCCTTAAGCGTAAAGCAAAAACAAATAAGTACATGATGTAGAAGATGATTCTTCTTCATGGTCCTACGAGACCGATGAAATGCCTACATATTTAGAAATGTTTTGAATTCTTTGTAATTGTTTGTCTAAGAAATTTCATAATTTGGAAATATTTTGAACATCTTGTCAATATTCTAAATAATTCCCTGGTTTTCTAAAACGTTTGAAATATTCCTGATGTGGATTATGACATTTCTAATAGTTTCTAAATATTTCTAACAGCACTCTACCATTTTTTACCATTATTTCGAATTATTTCTAACATTTTGTAAATAGGTCAGTGGGATGGGAAGGAAGTAATTCACACATCCCTGTGGAGTACATGGTAGACTGTCTGGGCGTCAGGCATTGATGCCTTACAACAAAAGAGCCACCAGTGTCCAGCAGTGAAATCTAAAAGATACAGAGGAAGACAGAAAAGTAGGATTAGCACCTACTTTTATGGGGGCAATTACCCACATCTACCATTTGGTTATTTGTTTGAAATAGTTCTAAATATTTCGAATTGTGAAAGAAACACATGGGTAGTTCAAATTTATTCTAAAGAAAGAGATCTTTGTACAGTCACATTCAAAATGTTTCAGAAATATATAAATGAATTCAAATATATTCAAATTTTCATTTTCAAATTTTTGAAAAATTTAGAACTTTTGTTACTGGGGTATTCTTTTCTTCTAAATAATTCAAACGTATTAGAAACATGGAGAACTAGAGTCCCACGATCTCATACCTTCGCCAAATGATGTTAATCTTTATGACAAAGTAAAGATTATTCCTCCTGATTTTGCAAATAGGATCCTCATTTGCATGAATTATATGAGTTGATCATATTATCCATAAAAGACAGCCTTATCTTAAAAAAGAAAGCCATTCTATCATTACCTCATAAATTATGCAAATGAGGTCCTTATTTGAGTAAATTATGTTTAATGATGTTCACATTCACTTAACTTGCAAATACCCTAAGTATGAAATTCCAGGCAGTTACCATTATGGAATTATAACATTTTCTCATTAATTATGCAAATTAAGTGTTAATTTACATAATTAATATCTTCCTGTGTTTTTCTCGTTGTCAATTACATATGTCTCAAGCTTGAATAGTCCTATAATGTAATGCAGCTGATTTACCGAATTTCCTCATTAATTATGCAAATTACGTCCAGATTTGCATAATTGTCGCATAATTATGTCAAGCATCACTTAAGCTACTTACATAACAAAAATCATGATGATCCGTCCACCGGTTCTTGAGTTATCCTCTTATGAATATTTTCAAAGAAATGGCCCTGCAGTTCCTGAGCAAGCCGATAGGGGGCCCAAACCTATGTCACTTATTCCCCAGCACAAGACCTACCTACCATCCAAATTTCGTGACCCTAGCACGTCCAGATCACGAGATATCAAAACCGGAAGTTCAGCTGCAGTACCATAAGAAGCCGCCAGGGGGCCCAAAATCTAATCATTTCGAGGTCTCATCAAGACCTACCCACCTACCAAATATGAAGTCAATCCATTTAAGCCTTCTCAAGTTATCGTGTTTACAGACAGACAGACAGACAGACAGACAGACAGACAGACACACACACGAACGCCTACGAAAACATAACCTTCTTGGCGAAGGTAAAAAACCCACTCGGTGATGCGGAATGGACTCTATATACCAGTAGAAATGTCAGACATGCGAAAACATAACATATAGCTACTATCACAAATTGCAGCTGTCCAACACTTTAGCCTAGACTAGAGTGTATGTTGCAAGTTGCTCAAGGCTTTAGTGATAGAAATGTACCAATGCCATCCAATCAAAAAATCATATTTGGAGTCTTGCAAAAATGTGTTTGGGGTAGCATAAGGAAAAACTCGCATGTAGGAAGATCATAGCCTGGTATCCAGCCTTGTTAGCTTTAGTCCGCTACCCAAGATCCGCTCCCCGCCAACAAGCGGATCTTGGGTAGCGGACTAAAGCTAACAAGGCTGGATACCAGGCTAGGAAGATCAGAGGTCTAGCCCAAAGGCATGT